GTTTAACAGAAACACACACACACACTAACAACAACAATAACAATACAATGGAAATGTGTGTCTGAACAAAAGAATGCCCCTGACGAAGGACTTTAACTGTCTAATTGTAATGTATGGTGTTACACTTCATAAAACAGGAAACAGTTAGAATTAGCAGGAAATCTGACTCTATGTAGCGATTGAACAGGACGTCATGTACATGAATACCTATTTAATTACAAATGATCTAAATAACATGCTGAAATGAATGTTGCTTGCAGAAAGACAGCAAACCCACCATAAGCTGACTTGCTTAGCCGGGGCGAAATCATGAAGTCATGATTTTAGTACTGAAGTTTCAGGGTTGCCAGGATATTTAAAAAAGAAACGCCCAATTGCTGCTAAAAACTACCGCTGGAAAACCGCGGACTTGGCAACACTGCGAAGTTGCGCAGGCGCTGTGAGGGGGACACAGGGGAACTGAATTCGCCAGAACACCGGCAATACTTCAGTTTTGTACGTTTAGATGCTGAAAATACGTCAGTAGTGTACGTTTTAGTGCCTGTAAAAACGCAAGTAAATGCACGTTTTATAGAACCACATTTTACGTAAAATACATACAAATTATCATGAGATCACGTTGGACATTCAGATGAAATGACAAAGTTCTAAATCGCATAGCATTCATCAAAAGTGCGGAGATTAGATTTGCTCATCTTTGGTAAAGAGAAACGTTAAGGAAGGTGGGGACATCTTGCCCCTTCTTACTATATTTATAGGATCAGATACCTAGCGTCTTTATTGTGACGCTGTAACAGGAAGACACAAACTTACCGAGATCGCTTGGTTTTGACACCAAATTGATACCTTTGTCGAATGAAGAGAATTTCTTCGCGTCTTCAGACATTTTAAACAACGTCAGCTTCTCAGACTTCCCTGTTGTCTTTTACTTGAGGCTTTTCCAGCAAGTGAAGTGTTTCCACATCAATGTTCTCTGAGGAGGAGCCTGACACTTACCGTAGTCTTCTGCGTGGAGAGATATGGATGAGGATTCAATACATGTGTCTGATTAGATCAATGCATGTCATTTATAATAGAATATTACATTATTATTCAATTTAGGTGTAAACGTAAATGTATACGTTTGCTTTAATATTCAACCTTGTTGCATTTTTCACAATTGCTACATTTCTTGAAATAGCCCTTCCAAAAGTGTGCAATGGAGAAGTTGCACATACGTTACGCCTGCCCTGGGGTTTTTTAACATTACGTCCATAAAATCTATGGTTATTTTATATTATATCTTTATGATTTAGTCGTGCAGCTGTCCTAGTAGAACAGTCTACATTTAAATAACACATTTTAAACATCTGGTCATTAGTCTACTGTTTGAATTTCTGCAGGTGTAAAGCATGAACCCACATTACTTTTACATGTATTGCTTTGGTAACGTAATCTTGAATTTCATGACATGACATTTCATTCATATGCTTCTCTACACTAAGCATTCCTTCACTTGTACCAGCTACATGCTCACCCAATCATGATTGTAATGCATTGCTCTTAATTGCTCAAATACTTATTTTTATGCATTCGTTTTCAGTGTATATTTGAACAGATTTATGACTGAATGCATAAATGAATAAGCAAACCAATTATATTAAAGAATAGCAAAAAAATATAAAACGTGTGATTATTTTAGTTGTAATTCTGCAGTTGTCCAGCAGGTGACATCATGAGTCTCTTGATGACGAACTTCAGTTACTCCAGAGCACTGGAGATTAAGGACATAATTATGAAGAAAAAGACTGACTGATTTACCTCAAGGACCACCAGTGTGACAATGTAAAGTCTTGAAATAATATATGCAATCTATTTAAATTTATTTGCAAACATATTAATATACCACATACTTTTGAAATAAATAAAATGATTACAAAAATAATAAAATCTAAAATGCATTATTTAAAATAATGGAAGACATTTTTTTCCAGTGCAGTTACTGCTGTGATTCAGAATCTAGTTGCCTCGGTGCCAGTTTGCATGGCTGATCTTCATCATAGTCATGGCCAGGATTTAAACAAATAAAGCAAAACTCATCGTCACATTCAGGGCATTCCATGTTATTACATCCATCATTAGTGTGTTCAATCAGCACACCACAAGATGTGCATGCACGGATTTTGGGGCACTGCACTTCATTTTTAAAGTATGTTAAAGAGATCATTGGACAATCTTTCAGCAGTTTCTTGTCAATGGTACATCCCACGTTACCACATCGATCAGCACGATTGTGAGACCCTTTCCACTCTCCTAAACAATTCCAGCAAAAATCATATGAATCTCCAGTCTTTTCTGTGCACACTGGGCACTCCACGCAGAGATTGGAAACATCCAACCTTTCAACAAAGGTGCTACAACCAGGACACTGAATGTGGAAAGAGAAAAGACAGAGGTGCAAGGTCAGACTTGACCCATCAACTCCCTTATTAATGTTTATTACTTCTGCAAGGCAAAAATGTACTTACAACCCTGAAGTCAACTAAATTCTTAACAGTATTCGTCCCAAGCTTTTCTTCAAAACTGGATTTCTCATCAAGTGTAAGTTTTGCCAGTTTTCGCACTTCATCATATGGCCATGTTTCCTCACACACTGGGCATTTGAATTCAGTCTGTCCCTGAAATTAAACATCAGAGATCATTATTAGACATTAGAATTTGGGGGGGTCTGTTGCTGAATCAGATTGGCTGTACAATTTTAACTTATTATTCAAATTATATTGAATTGACTTCAAGTTGAATCTCGTATACGCTCTAAAAAATGCTGGGTTAAAAAGGGACAAACCCAGCTATTGGGTTGTTTTGACTCCAAAACAACCCAACCGCTGGAATAAAGTCGAAATTCGTTAAACTAATTTGGGTTGATTAGGTTTAAGTACAATGATACAAAACTATAGTGAAATGTGCACAGATTCACTTACACGGTCCAGCTGAGTTTGACAACAATTAGTCAGTGTCTCTGGATCTGTGATGTGACCGCAGGACAACACCGCTCTTAAAACATCCGGCTCATCATCATATTTATCTGAAAGGGACAAGGTTTTGTAAATTCCACTAAAATGTGCTGTATTTGTCATGTTGGAGTATGCACAATACAGGCTAGAGAGTGCTATTTTATATTTTCGTTTCATTTTTTATTGAAGAATCCAGTCCTTTCAGTTCTTTTCAGTCCACAGAAGCCTGTTGGATGAATGTGCCTTATTAAAACATTATTATTAAAAACAGAAAACTGTAACTACAACTGTCGTCGTAATAAATACATAAATAAATACATTCTTTTTTTTTAATTGACCTTTGTACTTATTCATTTAGAAGACGCGTTTACCAACTCCGTAGTTTATTTAAATTACGTAATTTCGTTCTCGTTCGTCTATTTCTATTGTCAAGTGTTTATTCTAAATAGAGCTTCAAAGCAGCTTTACACAAATAGAGTCAAACTGACCTACAGACTAGCGAGGATGCATTTGGTTTCAGTTTACGGACAAATATATGATGCTAGACAGCATAAGCTTCAAAGCGGTTTCATATGATACACAAGATATTAACAGATTCAATGTTGCCATTTCATCAAATAACAAATTCTGCTGTAAAGCAGCTCTAAAAAGACACCTGTCATTATTCAGATCAAGTCAGTGCAGTCAATCAAAACAATATAGTAGCCTATTTCTGAGTATCAGTGTGGTTCAGATCCCAACCAGACAAACCATAGGCAAACAGTGGCATATATATATATAACTGCATATATAACTGTTTCTATATATAATAACAAACAACGGCGCATAATATAAATGATAACGCATGATATATTTAGCATTCGTGTGTTTGGTTAATTGTCGATTATTTATTAAATAGGTTAGTAAGCGCGCGCACTTACCGAAATCGTTTGGTTTTGACACCAGTTTAATACCTTTGTCGCGTGGAGTGAATTTCTTCATGGTTTCAGACATGTTTAACAGCGTCTGTTCTCAATCTTCCGTGTTGCTAGAGACGACTCTCAGTGCTCAGAGTTCAGTGTTGCCCAGCTCAGTTGCGTGTAAAAGGTCACGTGTTTACGGGAATTACCAAAGTCTCTTTCAAGGGTTTTCAAACATTACAGCATGACTTACAGAAGTGTTGCATGACTTCCAGGACTTGGAATTTTCTCTCTCAGAGCTGCACTGAAAAGGCTGCATGCTACATGTAAGATTGAAGTGTTCAAATGTTATTGGACATAGCTATATTGAATCGAAACTACTGTGTCTGCAATACACATGTTGCTGAACACTGCGCGAGCTCCGTACAGGAGGGAGACGTGTTAAGCAAAAAGGTAGCAGCCTAACTATAGGGCATCACAATCTGGCAGGCAGTCAAAAGTCGAACACACCCTTTAACTCTAACTCACACAGATCTATTTTTTTAAATATGGATGTGACTAAATATGCTATTCTAATATGTTAGTTCCCAGTCCAAACATGAAAAATGTCTCCTTGAATATTTGTGGTGTATTTGAATTAAACGCTGTAGTGAAACATCTTCATTTATTATAATCTTGAGTCATCTGACATTGATTTTTTTTTT